ACAACTATTTGAAAATCTGGAATCTGAGGGTGCAAAAAAAATCTAAATACTGAGAAAATCTCCTATAAAGTTGTCCAAATGAAGTACTTAGCAATGCATATTACTAATCAAAACGTACGTTTTGATATATTTACGGTAGGAAATTGACAAAATAGTTTCATGGAACATGATCTTTACTTAATATCCTAATGATTTTTTGGCATAAAAGAAAAATCGATCATTTTGACCCATACAATGTTTTTTTTTTGCTATTGCTAAAAATATACCCAGGCGACTTAAGACTGGTTTTGTGGTCCAGGGTCACATATGTGTTGTTTGTGATCCTATTTCACAGAATAAATTGCCCAAATTTGTTGTGATGCTTAACATTTCATAGTAATATTGTGAATATATTGTGTTACCTTTCCTGGCTTTCTTCTGTAATTTCATGGTGTCTGAAGATTTCTTCTTTATTTCATGACGAGACCGTTTGTACTCTGTAAAAAACGAAATGTATGAAAATTTAGTAGCACTTTATGTTCCGTGTGTACATACTATGTACTTATTATAGCAATAACTGGGTAATAACTAGGTACTAACTCTGAACCTACCCCTAAACCTAACCTTAACCCATGTAGCTATACCGTATACTAACCAGTACTTCCATGGGTAAGTACACTGTAAGTACATTTACTATAAAATAAAGAGTAACCGGAAATGTGTATGCTGTCTACTTTGTAAGGACTGACATATGGACAAAAAAGTGCTTAGTCACCTTTGGCATGGTCCTTGTCCAGTTGATTGGCTGTCTTCTTCCAGTCTTCAATACGGTCCTGTAGAGGAGTGATCAGGCTCTCCATCAAAGCACTGAAAGCAATGAAGAGAGGATCATGTTCTCAACCGTTCACAGCTGAGTCAGAGGTTCTCATTCAATTACAAAGCAATATGAACATTCATAAGGAAATATCATCAACCCTGTGGGGGTTCAGACCATGAGAAATGAAGGCTTTGGTTTAAAGTGTGGCTTAGAGTCTAAGGCATGCATTCATTAGACTGTCGGAGGGAATTGTCAGCAGATGTCCTTTAATGAAGTGTGAAAAGTGTGTGTATTTGTGTTCTCTTGTCTTGCCAGTGTCATCAGACTCTGAGAGTGAGTCTTATAGTGTTTTGTGTTTAGTGTTTAGATTATAGTGTGTTGTGATGGTCACATTTGTGCACATGCCAGAGCTCAGTGTCAAACAAATAAAACACATACAAAATTCTTGTGTTGAGTATAATCATATGCATACATGTATTTGTGTTATATATAGGCTTCTAAACTATGACACACAGGAAGTAGATGACAGGAGAAGTGTGGTCGTACTTAGTAAAATGGCGTAGTTTAGCCTCAATGCTGCGATGCCTCATACACATGCGGGTCAGAGCTGATCCGATGTCTCTGGTAGCACCTACAGGAGACACAAATGGCGAAAAAACTGTCAGAACATAACTGAAATTACACATAGGAAACACTATGTGTACAGTTCAATGACCAAAACCAGCATGGTAAAAACAACGGCTGCAGCTCAGAATGTTGTAAGCTGAACTTTAATCACTAGCGTTTTAAAGACCATCAAGTGTACAACCTCTAGTCATTCAAATATTAATTATTAACATGGATCAGTAATTTGTACTTGCTTCAGTCCAAATAAAGTGGTTTAATTTAAAAGACTCCCTAAAGTGTGCATGTAACCTGTAACCACAGTGTAAATGAGGCTATTTTTAGTAGCAGGTTGGGAAAAAAAACCTTTGGAAAATCCTGACCCGAGTATTTATAAGAGGCCGTGTGCTTTCTTCCAAAGAAGGTGGCCTGGACAGCTATTATTTCTTGAAGTGTTTACATGTCAAACTGAATTGTTGAACTGAGAAGTCTGTAAGTGTTGCCTGGAACCGCACCAGCTCTTTAGATTTAACTGTACCATGACCTTCAATATAAGAAACAACTGATTATTTATTACAATCTAAAAACACTGTGTATCTCATATGACTGTGAAAATTTGACTGGCAAACTATCTCAACGTCATGTTTACATTTGTCATTATAATAAACATTAAAAGTGTATGCTTCCTTATCACCAGAATTGCTGCAGGGGGTGATTTACCCATCTCTTCTCAGCATTAGTACTTTCATCTTATTCACAGGTCGATGAAAATTTACATTCCAGCATTAAATCCTGGTCTGTGCTGACCTCAGATTTCCAGTAGATCTCAGGTCTCCAAACTCAGGTCTCAGGTCAACATTGGGTTGAAGACCAAACTATTTTTACCATGTATGGAAAATGATATACACATATTTATATCTTACTGGTATTTATTCTGTATAATCCCTTTAACCCGAATTTATGTTACATATAACACCCAGAGGTATTTTTAATTTAAGTACTTTTATTACTTTCATTGCTCTTTTATATGTTAAGACACTAATTTGGATCTAATTTATGTTTCTTAAGTGTCCACATTGTCACAGCTCTTTCTGCTATACAATTTCTGAGGAGAGATAAAAAAAGACCAAAGTGAGGCTTGAATTTAATTGTACACAACTGAGAGTAGAGGATTATACATTGAATGTTAATACCATAGCTCACATTGGAAGAATATGATGAGAAACATTTGAGTTTTTATTGAAATTTCTGACTTTTATTGCAGATGTTAGTGTCTTGACAAACATGAGCATAGTTTGAGACATTGTTGAGATCATTTGACACTCTAGAGGAGACATGTGAGATCACAATTCTACATTTGAAGACTTCAGATGCAAAAGCCTCTAAGTGCATCTGAAATTTTCATCTAAAATTAGCATTTTTATCAGGCTCCTATATTTTTGTTCAGTTATTTCACTTTAATGGCATAGAAAACGACCTATACAATGTCATTAAAGTGAAATTACTGAACCTAAATATAGCAACCTGATAAAAAAATGCTAATTTTAGAAGAAAATGACAGACGGCACTTAGAGGCTTTTGCATCTGAACTCTTAATTTCTTCTCCATTTAATCTCAATGCTGTCTATGGGGAACAACTGAGATTTAAGAGATCTCATTTGTGATTTTTCTTTCCTATGCAGCTTTAGCTTTGCTAGCTAGTTAGCGCTGAATGATTTGCACACAATCACTATATATTGTATACGCACAAATTAATTCTGTTAAAGTGCATATAATTGTAACTGTAAAAAAAAAATCAGACCAAACTAAAAGACCAAAAACAATTAATCAAATATATAGATGCATATAGTAGGCTACATATATGGAACAAACATATAGCATTGACGTGCCTTTGACTCTTGTGTCTATTATCCATTGCCATTTTGCGATAACAGTAATGTGTTCACTAACACAGATTTTCTGCATGGTCGCTCTGAGCGCAATGAGTTAAACATGCATGCATGCCAACACACGCACACACACACACACACACACACACACACTCAGAAGGGCACACATGCATACAAACACAGTGTTTCTCCAATGAGACTCTAGTAAGCCACAAGAGAAGCTCCATTCATAATTAACACATTCCTGCCTCATGCCTCCTGTTCTACCCAGCAACCATTCATTAATCCATCCATCCCACAGAGCGGAGTGAGATGATACAGTGTCTAATGTCAAAGTGCCACCGTACCTTAAGATAGTGACAGAAAATTACAAAAGACAAAAACTTGAAAAGAGAAAGTGTGAGAACGGAAAAGGAGCAAGTGAGGTGTTCTTCACACATTTTTAATTGCTTCTGAATTGAGACCTCCTTTAGTGAGACATCCCTTTTTTCTTTTTTTTATTCAACTCGTAATTCTTAATCAAAATGTCCTAACTCAATCCTCCAGGTGAAAATGTCACACTTCTCTCTGGTGACAGATGTCGGACTTCTCCAATCATTTAATTGATTGTCCAAATAAACCCCACCATTTTCACAATCGTCTGCAAGCGTTTTTTTTGTCTTTTTCATTAAGCTATTTAATTTGAATGTACCTCAAAATATGGAAGAAAAGAGCTGTCACTACTTTCATCGCAAAAGAAAGACAGCTAGCATCTGGCTAACGTTGCGTGTACTCAGTTTTCCCGTTGTGTGTCTTTCGCAAACCATTTCAGAGAAAATATCAGATTGAAATGTCTCTGATGGCCACTTGAGAATGTCCAGCCCAGCGTGTGCTCTGAAGCAGTGTACTGTTGTCACCGCAGTAATCTGTACAGAGTGGCAGTATTCACAGAGTGCTGTCGCCTCCATCTGTTACAGCAGCCTGTGTTTACTGTTGGCCTCATCGCCAAGACCCGCACTGCCACACTAGCCCCCACATATTGTTTTTTCTCATGACATTTAGTCACCAAAATGTAAAAATGATGATTCTGAGAAAAGATGAGTGGAAAGAGCACAAGTTGACAAACACATGGAATGATGTAAAAGAGTGGATGAATTTACCATCTTCCTCATGAATGTCTGTATTTGTCTAAACAACTTCTCAGTGCCCAAACAAAGTTTGAGATTTTCATCAATACATGACATCATCAATACAATGAATATACCAAATTAATATACATTTAAAGTCTCATTACTAGGTATGCATAATACACCAGGACCACGTAGGTTATCTGCCGATATTACTTTACGATATTACTCTACTATATTGTTGTTTTATTGGTATCTGTCAAAATTGTATATACACTACCGTTCAAATGTTTGGGGTCAATACGATTTTTTTTTTTTAAAGAAACAAATATTATTATTCAGCAAGGATGCATTAAGTTAATCAAAAGTGACAGAAAAACATGTTATAAAAAATAACTATTCCAAATAAATGCTGTTATTTTAATTTTTCTATTCATTAAAAAATCCAGAAGAATATGTTGCAAGGTTTCCACAAAAAAACTGTTTTTAATACTGATAATAGGAAATGTTTCTTGAGCAGCAAATCAGCATATTAGAATGATTTCTGAAGGCAAATTCAGAAATCAGAAATAAGAAAACGATTTCTGAGACAAAAATGGATGAAAATCAGTCTGTTGGGAACAAGCGGCAACCTTCCGGTCTCTCTTGTGAAACCAACACGGTTGGTAGGGAGTCAGTCCCATAGACCCCCCATGTTAAAATGCCCAACTTTACAGCAGAAAAAAATATGTTTACAGCCTGGTACAAAAAGTGGTTTTGATCTATATAGCTAATTTTGCCCTTCATGACAACTGTGAGGGGGGTGAATTTTTTTTATAACTCATCTGTTTAAATTATATTAAGCCTTAAAGTTCTGCATAATTAAGGGCGTGGCCACTTGAGTGACAGCGTTGGGAATTCCTTCTGTGGCTTCTGAACTTAATTGAATAGAGTAACTGGATAAACAAGGCCATTTACTTGGCTGACGACCAGCAGAAAGACATACAGAGCACTTACACAAACAA